TACATTTTCTTTCACATTTGCAAAACAACAAACAATTTATTTCTTGTATCTTTGAGTCATTCTGTCACCTGAACTTGCATACAGTCATCCCTTGGATTTGGAAGAGAGTAAAATTAATAAGCCTACCAACTAGTTTATAAGGTATTTATATTAGTACCTCAAGTATTTATACACATGCATTTTACATTGCATAACGCCAATTGTCTCTATTGAATATTTTGTAACTATTCCAATTAAAAACTATTTTTACATATCAATATTGATATTTGTTAGAAACTATTTGATCTCAAATAGTTCCTAACAAATATAAATATATTGGTTAGGTCTACTAATGCCTACAGTGAATAATGCCTACAGGGAATAATAGCTACAACGTTTGCAGTGACAGCGATACGCTTACCTGCACACAAGTAGATTGTTCCACTTAGTGTGCACTATTGCCTACAAAGGGATTAGGGAGGCCAGCAAGGAGAGTAAAGAGTAAGATCAAGAGTATTAAATCGTTAGCTAGCTTATGTTTTGATAATTCCATACGCATTTAGTTCTCACACGAGAAGGAAATTGAAGAGTAAAGTAATTAATAGAGAGATTATTAAAGGGAGAAGGAAATGTATTGCTTTAAAATTGAAGAATAGAGTAATTAATTGAGAGATTATTAAAGGGAGAAGGAAATGTATTGCTTTAAAATGCTTGTGATACAAATCTTCATTGCAAATCATGGCAAATCCCAAGAAAGTCGAATACTTCACATCACAGAAAGGAGGACAGCAGGTACTCTTGGAGGGATACCGCTACAGACTCAACAACAGGCGACAGACGTGTGTACACTGGAAGTGTGTTCAAGGTGGCTGCTTTGGCAAGTGTACGACAGTCGGACAGTTTGTTCGGAATCAGACCCCACACAACCACCCACAAGAAGACCAGGTAGCCCTGAAGATTGCCAGTTCCCTGAGGCAGCGGGTACAGACTGAGACGACGCCAGTTCAGGTGATCTACGATGAGGAGATTTCCCGACTTGACCGAGGTGAAGCAGCAACAGTCAAGTCGTTCCATTCTATGAAGAGTGGACTCTACAAGCAGAGACGGAAGATGATGCCGCCACTTCCCCAGACGCTCAGCGAGGTGAATCTACCCGACTTCTTCAAGGAGACTACAGATGGACTGCCCTTCCTCTGCATTGATGACGGTGATGATGACAAGATTCTCTGCTTCGCCACAAGTGACCGCCTGACCCTCCTGCAAGAAGTGGACACCCTCTACATGGACGGCACCTTCTACTCCTGTCCTCCTCTCTGGGATCAGCTGTACGTCATCCATGGCCTAGACAGAGGGAAGATGACCCAGTTGGTCTTCTGTCTACTGCCGAATCGTCAACGCCGCACCTATGAACGCCTGCTACGTCTCCTCAACGACAAGATCCAGCAGACAACAAACTACTATGTGAAAGATATGAATAAAGTTTAAGAAAATTAAGAAAATATGACAACAATGTGAAAGATATGTATATGAATGTACATATGTATATGAATGACCAAATAAAATGTCTCTCAACATAGAAAGTTACTGTTTTCTATATACTGTAGGCATTAGTGCACTTTGAAATAGGACCATGCCACTTTATTGAAAGGTTGAAGGCAGGTGCAATCAGCAGCACTGGTGCGTAAAGTTGTTTATTTAACACTGTAGGCATTATTCACTGTAGGCATTAGTAGACTCCACCCGCCCGCTTGTCACCGGAAATCTAGTAGCGGAAGTAGCGCCTCGCGAGACTTACGGGCCCTATCGCCCAATCCGTCCGATTACACTGTCGGCATTATGATGTATATTTTGCGGATAGTTCAGACACTTTTTCATGAAACTGACTTCAGTATCTACATTTAGCCTTGTTCAATATCATATCATACGGTGTATTATTCTTTGAAAGTTTTTGATCGTTTAAATAATATTTAAATAAGAAATTGACACATTTAGTGCAGTACACCATATTCTAAACCTTTACACAGGTGTTAGAAGATCAAACGTAGCCATAACTGCAACTGCTTTTAGTTCCTATGATGTACAATATTCAATGCTTTTGAACTAATATTGCAGTTTCACATGAACAGGTTAATGGACGGCGATTTAATTCAACCTTATAAGTAAAACTGATAATATTTAATGAACATGATTTATATATGTTATGAAATGTACATGCACCCATATTTAAAGGAATTGTCTTGTTCTTTGCACATTTTTGTGTCGTTTTATAGAGAAAACAATGCTGTAAATTGATTGGCCAGGTGCGCGTTTGTCGGAAACGTTTTATGATCCACTATCATTGTTTTCGATAATATAATCAATTCATATTCGATTTAAAAATATTGTGATGACAGGATATCAAACTCTTACTATATTTATACGAAAATTGTTGAAAAATATATAAACCATGTCATGTCTTAATTTGGACAAATCTTACATCCATATTCTAATATATAGTACGTACTAGGTCCATATATAAAGCTATCTTTTTGCATCTTCCGTTGCATACTTATGAAGAGAAATAGCTACATAATCATAAACAAAGAAAATTCTTATCCTAAACAAAATATTCGGGTGTTGTGAAATGTTATTTTTCATTTACGTTAAATTGATGCCAAACAGGTGCGCGTGTTGCTCACAAAAAGATACACAGTCAAACCGTCTAATTGTTGATATATTCAGGACACTATTTAAACGGGAAAATCAGTCATTTTATGTTTTGTCTAATTCTGCCACAGAAGCCGAGACCTTTCACACAATTAATGGAAATTTGGTTAGATATGTACTAATCAGCATACCAATGTCGTCTTTTTCCGACGTCGCAAAATGCATAAAACAAGCAATGACGTCAACTAAAATGGTGTATTATTTTCAGCAATTTCATTACATTTAAAGATATGGCTAGTACTCTGGTAATAACGATGCAAAATTAGTCAAAATACATCTACACAAACAGGACAATATGGGAATCTAAGAACTAACTTGTATATCGGATAGGGCCATCCAAATCGTTATGACGTGCTTTCACATGTAGTACGTTGTCATCTTTTCTTATAAATTGTGGGGCGGTGGGGTAGCCTAGTGGTTAAAGCCTTGGCTCGTCACGCTGAAGACCCGGGTTCGATTCCCCACATGGGCACAATGTGTTAAGCCCATTTCTGGTGTCCCCCGCCGTGATATTGCTGGAATATTGCTAAAAGCGGCGTAAAACTAAACTCAGTCAGTCAGTCTTATAAATTGTGAAACTACCAAAGCGTATCCGCTCACATTGAGGAACTTTGAATTGGAATAGTTTGGTTCACCGTATACAAAAAATAACGAAAATATAGCGTCCGTATCCACAACAAATACTCTCCATGTGATCTGAGTTACATTGACCTAGTGTTAAGCATAACTGAGTTATGCCCCCTTATCATTATACGTGTATGACCTCTCTGTCGTCGTTTGACGTCGTAGAAGAAAATCCATTTTTGACATTTATTGCGAGTCATTTTTAATGTTGAGCGTATAATGTTATGCATAAGCACATAAACCCAATTCATATATACTTATGTCGTTCAGATATCAGGCTGTATTTTCTTCGCTCACACTTTCCGTAAAGATGCCAAATTACAAAATTCGTAGCACAGTGCTTTTATCGGTGCGCAATAAAAAGCGGAGAAATATACTGTTTTTCACGCATAACGAAAGATTTGACAACATTTAGCAAGGTCTATTTCTCAAACCGAGGAGGTAGTTGCACTTATATTTATACTAACGGATAGGAAATTTAATAGTCTACATTTCCATTTCTGTGTAATTGTATTGCCGTACGTAGATCCAGGACCACGCGAGCGCAATTCTCGCACAACGTTCACTTTTCAAAGCGTATGAAAATGTGCGCCTGAAAAAAAACTCGGCATCAAGGGGGTTAAATCCCAGACACCCTACAGTCACCCCTTTGATAGAAAAGGAACCCAATTCGTATCGACTGGTCATATATTTATAGGGGTGGGTTTGCTGGTTGGAACTGTATCACGTTTTGCTGACAAATAGCATTCTTGTTAGATCTAAATTATATGGCATTTTCTAAATTTATTTTGTCCTCTAGCGGTGCCTCCGTTTCGCTTGATTCTTCTTCTTCATCTTCACTGGAAGATTGTCTTGCAAGATGTAAAATCGGATCGTATTGATACGTCTAACATCCATTTCAGAAATGACACCAGGAACATCTTTTACTGCTTCAGAATCCATGGACACTGTTATGTTGTGAGGTAAAATCAAAGAGGAAGCCATCAGCAACAGGCACATATGACATCATGTCACGTGATACCCCGCTGCTAATTAACTGTCAGGTATTTCCGTAATTGGCGGAAATACGAGTACGGTTTTTGTGATTTTATTGCTATTTTACAAACATTTGTTCAATTTTAATCACAGGTGACTTATAGAATATTTTTACAATATATCAAAAGTTTTGTTTTCGTTCGTATTCTTCTTAAGGGACAGCTCATTGAATGACAGCATAAGCATAAATGATGGGGATGTGGAGTTTAACTACTAAAGTGTGGCAGTGCGGGGGAAATAGTTCAATGTTTTATAACTGAATAACACTTGAAGAATATTTATGAACTTATGAACAAAAGTAAAGTGTGTTATGTGCATCTGACACTATGGATATTATGTCTACATTGCTTTCAAAGAAAGCGTTCTATTTTTAACTTAGACATATATATCCACCGGTACCTTTTGATCTTGTCATGGGACTATTTCGAAGTGTTGTTTTTTTCATATGAGTAGTTCTTGAACACATGTGGAAAGTATGAGTTACAAGATATTAAAGCTGACAGATGGATGATATTTACATAACTTGGATTGGGGGTACCCATTGTAAGACAACAGAATACCGGTATTCTGTATGTACCGTACCCTTAACACACATGCAACAATAACACATTACTTTCGGGTAGAAAAGTACCTGCGTCACAGATTTTGAAGCTTACCTGACAGTCCGAGGTTTCTGTCGAGTCGCTGAGAAAACGTGACGTCACTAGAAGAACGTGTGACGTCATATACACCGTCATACAGTATGTGATGTCAAAAAGGGTGTGTGACGAAGGTCCTCCGTAACGCAATCGGGTTCCCGGCTCCCTAATCACCACACCATAGGAGCGGTGAACGGCAGGAAATATTTCATAGCAGGAAGAGAACGATTTATCACGCGAGAGGAAAGCAGGTTTAATTTGTAGGTGTAGGAAAATTGTCAATATCTATATTTGTATAGGCCACACTGTCCCCGGCTACGTGTCCGTTAAGATGCATAAATATATCAAAGTTTAGGTATCATTGCTGTATAGACGAACAACAAAATACACCAATATTTAGCGGAATTATCGAACTAACTTTGTGCCAAATATGAATGCTTAGTGTTGGCCCGTTTTCGAGCTTACATCTTTGAAAGACCAACACCAACAGTGTTTAGTTGGGTGTGTGAGCGTCCGTTGGGGGGGTACTCTCGGATGGTGAGTTGAGGTGAAATTGGGTTTTACGTCGTGCTTGAGAATATTTCGCTCATATGACGACGTGCATGCGTTTGTATCTGTATGTGCGGCTGCTTGTACTAGCCCAGACTGAAGCTGGTTTTATAGTGCTAGCCCACTGAGATACCATGCCGCAGTGAAGCATGACTATCCCACTCAGACACATTATACTGACTCCGAGCCGACCAGTCTTTGTTGTACCCATTAATGCCGAGCGCCAGGCAGGGACCAACAAGTACCATATTTTAACGTCTTTTGGTATGACGCGGTCGGAGATCGAACCCGCGACCTTCCGCTCTCCGGGCGGACGCTCTTACCACTACACCACGGAGGCGGTCTACTCTCGGATGGTAGTTCAGGATGGTGGACAAGAGACGGAAGACAAAAGTCAGCTGTATAGTTGAAGACAGCAGCAGCCATTTTTATTATGGTTGGGGAACAATGGTCGAAATGGTACATAAAATGGTAATCACGTGACAGAACGCACACCGGGACCGAGTGGCCAATGTTCCAGATGCGGAGACTTACAAGCACAGGCAGTAGTCGGACGGCGATTCTTCATCGTCGGCGTAGTCGTTGGTGAGGATCGATCTCTGTGAACAAAATGTGTACTATATGTATCATGAATACGCATCGGATATGCGATGTATTTGTTAAAATTTCACGTATTTACTTGTGTGGATAAAAAAATGTGAATGTAAAAAAACCCCGTTAAAATGTCAACTGAGTTTGTTGATGAGTGCTTCAAGTATGGAAATAAAGTGATAAAAATATAAACTGTTGTCGTCTTCTCATTAGGTGTGCTCTCATCCGCATAATCCGGATTATCCTCTTGTAACAACTCGTTGATCCTTCATTGTCCTCGTAATCCTTTATTAATTGGCAAAATGAAACTAGTCTCAGGACGCCGATATTTTGTATCCACTCAACCGTGCAGTTTGGTCGAAAGGTCGGCGTTATGAGCCTGAACCGGGTGGGGGGTGGTTATGATGGCTGTAGGTGAATTCGTAGACCAGACTGGTTCGTAGACGTGGAAATCCGGTGGATTCGTAGACGGATTGAGCGGTGGATTCGTAGACGTTATTAAAATGGGAAAAGTTCAACCTCAATGATGATGAAAATCGACGAAAAGTGTTTGCATTTTGTGAAATAAATAAAAATATCAGGTAAGTATGATCGGCGGTGAAAATATGCTTAAAATAATAAAATATGCTTCACAGCGGTCCACGTCCGACAAATTCCGACAAATCATAGGCCGCTAATATATTAAATTCAGTTGTGTAAAATTAAAAGATATGTATAAGGTAAGTATCGTCATTCAACGTTCAACTACGCAGACCAGCAGAGAAGTAGCAGAAAACACTTCTTAAGAAAACACTTACATCTCCTACAAAGAGTATTTCGCAATCAAAACAACTCACCACTTCCTAAGTAACATTCACAACAACTCAGTGAAACCTGTTAATCCTCCCACAACAATGAAAACAGTCGGGAAATTATGATGAGTAAACTAATTTTGTCTGATCCGCCGACAAAGTTTACCTGCACAAACACTTATGGTATATAAACCTCAAGAAGGTAAGAAGAGATCATTCTTCAATCACACTTTCTTGTCCTTATCTGCCCTTAGCTTCGTATCACTGAAAACAAAGCATAACAACTTCGTTATACACACTCTAAGTAAAAATCAAACTTAATAAATACTATAATTCAATTATTGATACACGTCTACGAAATCACCGTCTACGAACCAGTCTGGGTTACGAATCCACCGCGTCTACGAACTGGTTCAGTCTACGAAATCACCGTATCCCGTTATGATAGAAGGGCTACACCGAATGATTGCTGAATACATTAAACAGACAAAGGGGATAAAATTTCGGTGCACTTTGGATATTTATTGAAACAATTATTTTATTTGAATATATGAAGTTTTCCAGAAACTTATCGTGGAGCTTTTGTCCTCAAAAGCGTTTTTTGAAAATAATTACAATATTGGATGTACAAGTATACGGTAAAATACATGGGACATTGATGTGTTGACAAATATTTGGTACAGGCATTGATCATAAGTCAAATGATCGTAATGGCATTAGATTAAAGTAATGTCGGAAACAGAAAAAACTGTTTTTAGGCTGTTACTCTGTATCACTAAAATTTACACAATTGCAAATAGCATATATGTCGAAATAACCCACATAGGCCTAACTGGGCGTTCAGGGGGATGCGTCATAGGATATCCAGAAATACATGTTTACTCGTAAAGTCGGGCAAAACTTAGAAAAAATACGAATAGCTGCTGAAACCAATAGATCAGACTATATAGATGGCAATTACAGACCTGTGCCAGTTATATTCGGACACTTGACGTAACTTCCATAGACTTACATGTTAATTTAGTGTAGCATAAATAATTTTCATGAATTTAATTTTCGTATGATCCAAGTCAATCATCTTACCTACAATCACACAATTTCTGTTTAACTTTCCGTTGCTTATTTATGGAATGGCAACAATTTAATCAACATATGTACAGTGCCGTGAAGTGCCGTCACATGGCGACCTATGGGATTGTGCATTGTGGAACTATACGTAAGTTGATAAATGTGATGTCATTAGTCGGAAAATTGAACTGAAATTATGTGCGCAGAGCAGACTGAGACGATTTCAAATTTGCCTGTCACATTTTACAAAGATCTATAGTAAACTCACCTCATGAAAATTATTTATGCTACACTGAAATAACATGTAAGTCTATGGAAATGACGTCAAGTGTCCGAATATAACTGGCACGTGCATGTCTGTAGGTCGCTGAGCACGGACCGTCGACTCACAAGGCATGAAATGCACGTGCTGCCCAGAGGCACAAGGGGTCATCTCAAAGATATTTTATGTTGTTTCATGTGTATTGAATATGTCTCTATTGATTATCGTATCTTAGCTAATATCTAAGACCGCCCTGGTTTTGCTTTTGAGACGACCCTCCTACCTGTTACTTTTTATAGTGATAGTGAGACGCCATGGTAGCTACATCCTTAATAGTTTCAGTATTAAAGTTATTATTTTTACGTCTGTTATCGTTTATAATGAAGCTAAGTCTAATTTCAAAATGATCATTTAAAAAGTGAGGATCTCAGGCAAAACAGGAATGATTCTAGTGTGCAACCATCCTGTTTATATACCCGAGACCACAGGGGCGTGTCACGCTTAGAAACAGCGGCCTTGAATGTCAAGGCCGTCTATGGCCGACAAGTGAGTATGATTGCCGATGGTTTTGGAGAAAGTGCCTGCTTACTGTCGAGGAAATGATTTGTAGATGTTGCAATAAGTTTTTAGACCCGTGGAATGCCGCTGCCGATCGAATCTAGCCCTACATAGGTGCCGTCAACGTGGCTGGAATTAATAAACGAATTTAAAAGGTGAGTTTTCGCTGTCTTGGGTGATCCATGATTTTGGCTTGGAATTGCAGAGGTAGCTGTTTTCGGCGAGTCGTGGCGTATAACTTTTGATATAATGATCTGATTGTGACCATTTATAGCTCATTTTGTAGGGAAATCATCTCGCTTTCGATCCGTAGGCCTCGACGGGGCCTTAAAAATAGTTTGCGTGGTGAAATCTAACTTTGATTGAGGAGGGGGTGGTTCCGTCGTTACATCCCTTTCCTTTTATATAGTACTAGGGTAGGGTCTATGTACCTATATGTCTTTCTAACGCTGTTTCTAAGCGTGACACGCCCCTGTGTAATCGCCGACACTGTCGGGGCCGGCTGTCTACGGATGGCAGGCAACCGAATACAGAGGGTGGACCGGCACAGTCGCAGGGAGGACCGTTGGGGCTGGAGCTCTCACCTCCGGGATCACAGACGACGAAATAGCGGCGGCAATTCGACAGCTGATATCGACAACACCAGCCCACGTGTCTCTGTTGACCAACAGAGATCACGTGACCATGACAGGAGCGGTCCAGCCAATCAGGACCAGGTACGGCGAGGTCGCAGAGGTCAAGGCCAGGAAAGGAGGCTGGGCAACACAGCTGACTGGTCCAGTTATTAGGCCAGTTGCGCGTTTGGGAACGTTTCCTCGTGGGCAAGTGACACTTTAAGTGACAATTATCAGTTAAGAAAGCAGTTTATTGAATCCCTCGATGTTGACATTTTAGGTGTTGCCGAAACCCATTTAGTTCGTGAAAATAAGTTAAAACTTGATGGATATACCTGGTATGGTCACGACCGCACCACCCTACATCGGAATGCTAGAAAAGGCTCTGGGGGTGTTGGTTTCCTAATAAAGAACACGTTTTTAGATATGTTTAATGCATATGTTTTAGACACAACATATGAAGGTATTATGTGGGTGAAACTCGCACATAAGGTTTCAACAAACTCCGTGTATACGTTTTGTGTATGCTATTTCCCGCCAGAACATTCTACAAGAAATGTGGATGCAGCTGACTTTTTTGACACGTTACTGTCGCAGATATACCGGTATCGTGATATAAATATTGTGTGCATTTGTGG